ACTGACAAATTAGGCAGTGCAAACACTAAATAAGTCCTTGTGCTCATGTAAATCTGTTGAAATTGGGTAACAAGAAGTCTATTTGGGAAAACCTAAGTAGAGAGGTAGCTGGATCTTTGATGGTCTTACTGTAAAGGCTAGCTCAGAAAAATGGATACCAAGGTTATAGTATTCAGTCGTAATAGTTAGATGGACAAGAATCTCTAGGTTGAAAGTTTCAGGAGTACCACCAACCAGGCCATCAGAACAAACTAAAAAAAAAAGATATTGGGCTAACCTGATATATTGATAGACTGGTTGTAGTCCTATATAGACTATCTGAATTGGAAGTTTGATAAAAAGGCTGAACAAAAGGCAGGAGTATACTAAAGTATTGGGATTATGCTTGAAGTAGATGCTGAGGCCTGTGTGAACTCTACAAAGGCATAGCGGTTTAATGGTTAGCCCTGCCACAAGTGTTGGTTCTGCTATAGTGATACTTAGATCAGTTATAAAAATAAGTACAGAAGACTCTGGGGGGTTTACCTTAAGAATAAATTAGTTCTAAGATTGAGGATGATGATCTGGATATTTGAGATAACTAGTGATGTTAATACAGGTTACAGGTTTAGAGGGTTTAAAGTAGAATATCCAAGCAGAGGTGTTAGGTATAGCAATTGGTAGGAAACCTTTGAATGGACTTCTTAAATAGATAATATAGAAAAGTTATATATGTAGCCAATTGTATGCTCTCCTGTAGTGGTTCATTGAACCACAATACTGATAAGTAATTAATAAAAGTTAAAAGACCAAAGAGGTCATCTTAATACCAAAAAAAAAAAAAAATTTATAAAAAAAAATGGTTCTTTTAGAAGTTAAGCTATACTAGTTGTCTAGGTGTTTTGATTAGTAATATAATGTTGTATTTTGTAATTTCTTTTAGGTCTTCTAATAGTTTAGGTTTTTTTATCAAGTTAGTTGTTATTATTTGTGAATTTAATGAAATACTAAATCTATATGTTGGAATAATTTATAAAATAAATTTTTTAGCTTTTTGGTTATTAGTGATTAGATATTCAAATTTTGTTTTAGTTTTAATTTTAATTGTATCTATGAGTAATTTTAGTTTGTATTTAATGTAGTCATTTGGTATAACTTTAAAAGTAAATGTTTTTTAAGTATTTTTTTATAGTAGTCAATGGATCTTGGAAATTAAATAAGAAAAAATATCTAATTTTTTTATTTAATTTATAATATGTTGTAGATAAGCTTGGTTTTAGGTTAGGTAATCTAAAGTATGCCTTTAGAATTCTATTAAAGTCATAAAATTCCAGTAGTTTTTATTTGTATTCTTCAAAATTTTGAATTTTCTTATTGTTTATAATTAGAAATAAGTTTTTAATTATAGGATTAAGATTTTTGGAATCTTCTAGAAAAGATTTTTTTATTTCAAAATAATTTTTTGACAGAGCATCAAATTTGTATATCTTATATAAAACAATTACTATTTATTTGGTTTCATATTGATATGTAATTGGTAACCTGTATAAAAGAAGTTATTATATCTCTTTTAATATTTATCAAAGTAATTTGATAATGCTATTTAAGTATTATTTAATGTTGTTTATATGATTTCTTTTATGATTTGTAAGGTAAGTACTGGTTTACTTCTAATAAATCCTTTTGTATATTTAATTATCTTTGTTATTATATTTTTTAATATTGTATTAAAATTATAATTTTGATATAATAAATAATAATCATTTGTTATAGTTTGGTTTTAATAGTTTTTTGTATTTGTGTATTAGTAATTATGATATTGTTAATTAGTTTGTATTTTTTATTGCATATTTAAGTAAAACTTTATAGTCTTCTTGGTGAGTTAATCATGTTGCTTTATTTCTAGTAAATGTAATAAAAATTATTATATTCAGGTATCTGAATTTTGTATAAATTGTATTAGGTATATAGAGGCTTGTTGGTTTGTATATTAATTTGTATTTGATAAATTCTTCTATGTTTTGTTTTGTTTATAATAACTTAAGTATTTTATTGTAGTTCTAAATTTTTATAAAAAGTTCAGTAATTTTGCTTATTAGTTTATTTTGTATTATATTAATCTATTACATTTTTATATCCTTATTATTATTTTGTCTTATAACATTTTTGTTAGTAATTTGATTATATGTAAGTTTATGTTTATTCAAATTATTGCTAGAGATAGTTGTATGTAATTAGTTGTCCTATTGTATTTTTTCTATATCTATATTTTTTTTATTTATATTAGTTTCATCTATTTATATATTCTGAGTTTCAATTTTGACAAAACTAAAGTTTTGTAGTTCTGAGATATCTGAGCTGTTGTTAATTGATGTATTGTTGTTTATAATAATTGTTGTATTGCTATCATTTGCAATAATCTGTATTTTGTTATTTTTATCAACTAAGTTTGTTATTGTGATTTTTTGTATAACTAATAATATCATTTTGGAATTTTTTGAAGATAAACTAGATTACCTACTTTTTGTGTCAACAAGAATAATAATAGTAACAATGTATCTTCTTTTATTGTTGTTAATAAAAAGTTAAGTTATTTGTATTTTTAATGTAATTTTCTTAACCACTGTTGTGTTGTGCATAGTTGTATTTATTAGAACTTAAGAGAATTATGCAAGAAAACTTTTTCTCATAAGTTGAAAAAGCCTTCCTTATTGTCACTGTTATGGCTTGCTGGTTTTTTTTTTTATTTTGTATTATTTAATTTGTTCTACTTTTGCTATCTTTCTGTTGTGCATCAGTGCATGTTGGTTCAAATTTTATAATTATTTAGTATTGGTATCTGGCTCTATCTTATTTGGTTTTTTATTTTTTATTTATTTTGGTGATGTACGAGAAAGAGTTTTTTTATTAATCCAACTTTATTTATGTTTAGTGTTAAGCTCTATATTATGCTTCTATTTTTGATTTTTAATTTTTTTTGTTTGTTTTGATAATGTACGGGAAAGAGTTCTATTGCAATTATTTCATTAATTGGGATTCAAAATAATTTAATTGTATGACGTATGACAAAAATTAATTTTAATTGATTTTTCGGTAAAACCTTTTGCGCATTAATAAAAAGGGTTTCTTGTGAAATTTTGGTGTTGGAAAAACTCCTCCTAACCTAAATTAATAACAAAACCTAACACCAAATCTAGTAGCGAATTTTTAGGTTGATAACGCTTGGACAGTTGAAAATTTGGGATTCTTTTGTAAAACTTTAATAAGAGCGACCTTGTTAGCCAATTAGCTTGGTCAATAAAAAGTGGTATATAGGACACCAACATGAACATGAAACACTGTCCTGGACTGTTTGTGTCCTTGCAATTTTGACACAACGTCCACATACAACTAGTGTTACGGCCTAAACCGAAACTTTCGGCCAGGCAAAACTTCCGAAACCTCCGAAACCTAGTTTCGCCCAAGGTGCCAAGTCCGAAACTGGGCGAAACTTCCGAAACTGGGCGAAATGTCCGAAACTGGGCAAAACTTCCGAAACTGGGCGAAACGTCCGAAACTGGGCGAAACGTCCGAAACTGAGCGAAACCTCCGAAACTAGGCGAAACGTCCGAAACGTCCGAAACTGGGCGAAACTGGGCGAAACTAGGCGAAGCGTGATCTTATCTCTATCAAAATTAACATAACACGTGACTCAGACTTCGATACGACGATTTTTAAAGTCATGTGACCTCTGCACTTAAATTTGACCAATGGAATTTCTAAATGTCATGTGACCATCACACATAAAATTGACCAATGAAATTTCCAAAAGTCACGTGACCGCTGCACCTAATATTGACCAATGAAATTTTTAGAAATTCAATTGGTCGATTTTAAATGCAGCGGTCACGTGACTTTAAAAAAATCGTTGCGTCACGTAATATGTTAATTTTGATCAAGTTTCGCCCAGTTTCGCCCAGTTTCGGACGTTTCGGACGTTTCGCCCAGTTTCGGACGTTTCGCCCAGTTTCGGACGTTTCGCCCAGTTTCGGACGTTTCGCCCAGTTTCGGATTTGGGGCGAAACCGAAACTCAAAAGCCGAAACGTTTCGGACTTCGGTAAAGGGTTTAGGCCGTAACACTACATACAACACTGCACTACAGTATACATTATTTTAGCATGACCACAAAAGCATACTGATACCTAGAGACAGTGTTGCATTTAGACAACTTGAATATAACGCAAAATTTTATTATGATAACTTCCTTTAAGTTTTTAATTAACTTTGATCAGAATTGATTTTCGAAAATATAGGTTAGATAAAAGTCGGACTATCCTGGAGATTGTTCTCCGGACGCCCCAAATGTACAACATTGCTTGACTATACAGTTTTTTTTGCATATGTTTATTATTTGTCATCATTCATGTCATTCACTTTAATGCACTGATCTTAAATAAGCAGTAACACATAAGAGAAAGAAGGTTCCTTTATAAATATACTATTTGCACCACAAGATATTTAGTTAGCAAAGAACAGAGATTATCATAATTGAAGAAACAAAGTAAATTGTCGCGGCTAATATGAATTTTTTCTTTTTTTTATAGTTGAGTTGGTTGGTTGGTTGGTATTTAGGGTTATGGTTCATATTAAAAGAGTATAAGTGGACTTTAGTATGGTTCATATTTTAAATAGAGACTGTTTCAGCTTCAGCCGCGACATAAATTTATAAATATATGTATTTCTGAAACGCGTAATCTGATTTACGCACCATTTTAAGGTACTGTGACACGCCACGACCAATTTTGGTGCTTTGCCTGGAATAAAAAAAATTGGTGTTTCAAGATTTTCCTGATCTTTGATACTTAATCGTTATATATATATCGATATGTGATGTATTACGTAGAAGTACAATTCATGCATACGTAGCCTAAACTGGATTTGGACAAATTATAATTGTGTACATTTTTGTTGATCAGAGTAATTTATAAATCAGTACTTACGTGTGAGCGTAGTTCTATTGAAAGTCCAAGGATTTGTAAGAATGAATTTTTTGCCACATTTATGTCTTGAAAAGATATTTCTAAATCTGGAACAAGATTCAAAAACCCTACATTCATGTATTTTAGTTAACAAACAATGGAGTGTATCATCAGTTCCAATATTGTGGAAAGATCCATTTAGACTCTGTAAGTATCTCCGTAAACCAAAAAAACTCGTGCCACTATTGAATACATATCTATCATTCCTTCCTTCATCTACACAAAAACGTCTTGGTATCACATCAATTATTGGACGACCAACATTTTTCAATTATCCAGTCTACTTACGCAGAATAAGCGTGGTATTGATTCATGGAAGTGTTGAATATTGGGCAGATTCAATATTTGGTCCAGATTCAACCTCTTTGGAAACAATTACATACATTTGCAAAGTTCTTTGTGAATATTTTTTATGTAATTCATCCAGAATTGAGTATCTTGATCTTGACCATGCAAATTGGTTTAATATATTTAAGCTTAAAGGTGCAACCACTTCCCTATCATCAATTAAATCAGTCGTAATAGATGATCAGCGAAATTTTCCAGATCAAATCGAGAATCTTTCTTCTGTTATGCAAAATGCAAGATCCTTAAGTTTATCTTTAAGATATAGAAAGAATGATCCTGTGTGTAAAAATATTATGAATCTTTTACAAACCCAGAAATCTTTAAAGGAAATTAGTTTATTTAGCCACGTTTCGGATTTTTTTCAAAATATTTGGGATAGTCTTGCCTCATCAAAATTACTTCACAAGAGTTTAACATCCATCGAATTTCATGAAGCGACATTTGACAATTCCTCTCTTTTACAACTATCTAAATTTTATAATCTACATCATTTAAAACTTTATAGATGTAGAAATTTTACTGGTAACATTCAAGAAGTTGACAAATTATCAGTATTTAAAAATCTTTCACAATTAATTATTTGCAAGATACAAATGAATCCACAGATATTGGAGTTTCTTTTAAAAAAATCCAATACAAGTCTTAGCGTCTTAGAGTTCCATGATCATAATATTACTGATTTTCATAAAACTGTTCTTTGGTGTGTAGGTTTTTGTAAGAATCTTTCAAGATTTGTGGCATCAATTCAAGTGAATCAAATTCCGGATATCATTTTACTTTTTAAGGAATGTAAGAAACTTGAATACTTTCATATATATGATCTGAAACTTTTATTCGAAGATGAAGAAGAACCATGGGATGAATATAGGCCACCGGAATTGGAATTATTCCATGCAAAAGAATTATTGGAAGAGTTGGGATCATGTATACCAATGACCATGAGAACTATTAAAGTCTGGATGAATTGGTTAATTAGTGGTGAAGATATTGAAGCATTTGTTTCAAAGTGTATGAGCTTTAACTTGAATATGAAGGTCATAGAATTTAGGCATTGCAAAGGATTTGGAAGTTTACATAAGGAAGTGATTAAAAAATATTTGCTGAACAATAATAAATAATTAATGTAACAATCGGTTTGGTTTACGGTAAAAATGTTATGTCCTTTCCTTAAATGAATCATGTATTTTAAATTTGATCATATTTTATTCAATTATTATATAAACATATAAAATCATGTCTATATCGAATAAAGTTGCTGGTCACAACTTTTATATAAATTATTCATGCTTAAAATAAATGCTAGACTTTTAAGGCGACTTTGATCCGGATTAAGTTGGGTAATATGTAATTTTGGGTATACCGATACAAATTAAAATAACTATATATATATATATGTTTAAGTAATTTTCTTCTGTTTCGTTATACGTAGTAACTTGCTGCCATAAGTTGAGCGATCGAAATTGCCTAATTTGAACTTAGTTTTATTTGACCAAAACAAAATTCCCAATCATTATCATTCAATTAGAATTACACTTATTTTTTAAAATTCTCTAGTCAACTTGCTATTATTTATTTGCTGTCTCCCGAGTAATTTGACGACACCCAGATAGGAATTTTCTTGATGAATATAAATCTCTAGTGATGGCATTCCTATATTTTAGATATCAATATATCGTTTATACGTGCAGAACCTCTGAATTAAGCACGCCAATGCCAATAATTATGGCATAAATCAATTACTCTGATTTTCTTCCTTTTGCTATCGCTAAAATTAAGGTAATAATCATGAATACCATGTTACAAAAATGAATAATAGAACTTCGGAATCGTGAACATTATTAAATATATATATATATATGATCGGAAGCACTATTAATTATTTTTGGAAGAAAAATTAACATATAATGATAACCGTTATTACTTATTTATGACCATTGTCGTCCCTACTTTAATTGTAATATATACTTGCCAACAAAAACCCTTGAGAATTAGGCCAACAAATATAATCATGCTGTTAAATAAAATATTACTCTTTATAATGCAAAATATTTATATGAAAAACCAATATTTATATTCACTAGGCATTGTTTTGAAGTTTATTTTTTTTTCACTTTATTTATATCTCAACTATATTTTACTGTATACAGCATCTAAATATATATATACGTAAGGTAGTGCAAAAAAAAATAATAACTTATACAATATCAATAAATATATATGAAATCGACTTTTCACTCTTCAATAACGGTACTAATATTGTTATCAAAACATGGTGATTTTGAAGCTATCATATACACTAGATCATTCTCCTTTAAAATGCAATTTTTATCAGGATTAACGCAAACATATCGAATTCCACGATTATTATGTACAACATATCGGTATAGTCCAAGTGGTATTGCTTTATGTGTTTTGACTAGATGTCTGTAAAATGCTTTATATTTTTGACCTTTAAAGAAAATTGATGTATTAGTTTCTAGTTATGACTAGTCATTTAAAAATATCATCTAATTCTATATAATCTTAAGTACCTATATACAAAGGAGGGATTTCAGCTTGAAACACATGACCTGAGTTAAGACCAAGATTAGTCCAATAATTATTATCGTCATGTCGCATGCCAGTCTTTGGTGAAAAACTTTCATCATTCGTATCATGACTGAATATTAAACGTTTCAAGATCACAGGAATGTGACGATTATAAAAACTATTATTTTATAATCATACTCAATTAGTGTTCATGAAATTAACAAAACATTTCAAAAATATAATTTTTTTACCATTGACAAAGCATGGTATCTAAGTAGCCAGGCGTAAACACATTTCCGCTCATAAAAGATGGTCGCATTAATGCTTGAACTAAGCAATATATAATAATTTAGAAATTTTGATACATAAAATAACAATCATCATTAATTGTAATTGTATACTCACTATAATCTTCTTGATTATTCTTAATCGAATGACTTTCTCCTATCATTTTAAATGTTTCTCTGTGTACACACTCGACCAATACAAAGCAATCATCTCGTGCGAGTGCTTCAATATTCAATGCCGTCATGAGTGAAGTGGCATCTGCTGTTCCATCGTTTGCCCTATGAATAATAAACCATATGATAATTGATTATCTTAAATTCAAAATTATATTTTTTTTAAAAAAAACCTACTCATATTGACTTGTCATACTATTCAATATCACACATTTTTTCGCAAAATGAACTCTAGCTCGGAAAAGATCTGTCCGTCTCAAAGGTGATCCATGAACAAAATATACATTCTTAAATTTTTCTAATGACCGTCTCTGTGATTCTGATGGTTGACTAGATGAAAGGATAACCACTGGCATACTACGACATTTTGAGTTTTTTTCACGAAGCACCATTATAAAAAGATCCAAATTAAGATGAAATTCGTCACTGTTATCACAAATTAACACATGGTTTTCTATATTTTTAATCTCTGGATCAAGGAGTAGTTCATCACAATTGGCCTTGGCCATTTTAACATTATATTCTAAGATTTCTGTGCGTAATGAAGTTATCATTGGTGCTGAGAAAACATGTGTATTTTCCACTGGTGACGACATCTGTATTCTGCTTTCTTCTAAATATAAAGATTTTGGTCTTGCAGTTTTAGACTGGTTTATTGGTGTATTAATCGCATCATTAGAAGAGTAACGTCCGTCATCATCCAATTCATGCGTTGATTGCATAACAAAAGACTCCGCGTCTTGAGTCCAACTTTTGTGATCAGATTTATTAAATTGAGCCAATCGTACCGTTATTTCAGCATTGTCAGATATAACAAATACGATCTCATCCCCTTTAATTACATAATCTTGAGGATTTAGAAATATTTGAAATGGGTAAGAATGACCTAAGAATATGCCTAATTGACTCTTTACGGCTCCAATAGCAAATAAAGTAGCATCTAGTTGGGTGTATATGATATCCGAACATTCTAAGAATGTCTTTCCGACAAAATATTTTGAAAGAGTAGCAGCATATATTTCATGTTGAGCACCATTAATATATTCATTTGCCCAAATATCTGCTCCTAAAAAATAATACATTATATACATTATTTAAATATTTATAATTCTTACTTTTTTTTTAATAGCACAAAAAAAACGTAAATAAAATGACAACCTTCAGTATGGTTTGCATCGATGTTCAGTTCATGTGTAATTTGTTCCGTAATAGATATAGTAAGAAGCACAATTAAAGATGCAAATCCAGGTGTGACTAAACTCTGCGCCATTAAACCCATGGAAATTTCATCAATACATAAAATGTTCTTTGCTATATATTTTAATATATAAATTATTACTCAAATTAAAATTATAATTATAATTATTACTCAAATTATAATTATAATAATTTCAAAAGTTTAATTACCTAACACACCAAAATGAGGAACATTCTCTGGTAAAAGTACTTGAACATAAAGTGGCTTTATAAGTAGTATACAAGATAAAAATAATTAGATCATATAGGCTAATTTTATAAAATTAAAATTTAATAAATATTCAAACCAGTTTTCGATTATATTTTTTCAAAGCCTAATATGTAATATAAATGATTAAATTATATAAAAATGAACAGAAAAAAATATGAATAATCCAATGAATCGCATTCATTTTACATACCAAAGCCCGCATTATTTGTGCAGCATCATCTTTATCTCTATTACTTGAACGTTTTGGTGATAATAAAAATGCAGCGCTGGCAGTATCTGCTTTAACTTTTTCAAGACTTCTACGAAATGCAGAAGATCTACCAAATAATATATATAGAATTTAAGTTTATTAAATAAGAATATATAGTTAGAAATGCGGTCTAGATACCCTTTAATGTATTGAACTCTATTGACAAATGCAGGATCTTCTAATAATAATGCAGTATCATCATCAGGCTTAAAATCAATAAAACATGTATTAGCATAACAAGTCTAACGCGTGATATAAAGTACCAAATGTTGCTTTAACGTGTTACCTCATCCGGATTCAGAATCAAAGCGAAGGTATTCATGGTTGACATTCCATGATCTTGACAAAAGAATTCACGTAAAAATTCATATAAACTCGTTGAATCAAAGCTTCCGGTGATTATTATGTAGTCCAAATTCTTATCCGATTTAAACGAATGATCATATTTCGATTTTTGTTGAACCAAACTGATAAGTTCGGTTAGATATGTCGGTCTGGTAATATATAAACGAACAAATATAAGAAACTTGTTATTATTTGACTGAAAATGTATACGGTACATATGAAGTCTCGATTTACATGAAAATGGCACCCATCACCATAATATATAAGATGACTAATTTAATCCAAAAATTATCCGCCGTGACATTCTTTGTTGTCATACCGGTTGTACTGGTCAAATATTAGAAAGAATAGATAAGTAAATATTGCCAAGATAAATCAAATCACTATTTGAATGCATTTGAATAAGCTGATCACCTACCAACTTACTATTTTAATAATATATGTGATTAATTACTAAAAAATGAAATGAATACAATATATACTAGAAAATAGATTACGACGCACCTACAGTGAACCAAGTTGCATCAAAAAAATCAATTCCTTCAGAAATCTCATCATGAAATGTTATAATATGAATCCATGCAGCTACAGCAAGGATTGTAAATAATATCGTAGTACCTAAATAATTTAAAATTTTAGAACCAATTTTGGATTACCAATACACACATATAGAAATATATATACATATGTACATATATACATATATACATATATATATATATATAAAATGGTAACCTACTTATTTTGAGGCCTTTCCTCAAAAGGTTAGATACCTTGAACAATGAACTTTTAACAGGAGTAAAACATATTTGTACAGATATAAGAGCACGAAAGAAACGTAATGGGTAAACATAGACCTTTGGAATGTAAGAAAGGAAGTTAGTAACATGTCTATATCTAGGGTTGTTAATGGATTAATTGGAAATTAGGTTCAACTCAAACCAACTTGGAGTCCTAATATAACACTCTATTTTGAGTTTCAATTTAACAAACTGGTCTGAATATTCCATTTAACATATTTTATAACTCACACCAGTCTGGTTAGGAATATGATACTCCAGCTAACAACCCTATTTATAACACTACAAACATAATCGTACTAACAAATCCGTCAACACCCATGTAAGTCATATTCATGTCCTCAATGTCCTCAATAAAGAATCGAGCTATGAAGGCTGCGATCACAGGAAACACAGTAATCCAGGTTGTAATTGCAAGAGAACTTGTTAAATATTGCAAATAATCTTTCGCCAACCAAACGCGAGGAAGAAACTGGATGAGAATGATGCATGCCAAACCAAAGTCCATAATCCGGGGAATATCGGGAAACTCAATATTATTCTTATTTACATAGTATGTGCTCTGTTTGTAGAAAAAAATTAGAATATCTTTATCCACAAAAATTACGCAAGCCTGATCAGATTCTTCAGATTAAACCTGGCCAGAACCGAATACTTACAAAAATAAATGATACAACAAAAATTATGGACAAGATAGCATCAAAAAATTCCCAAATTCTCCCTTTTTTCCCCGTATCATATTTATATGCAAGTCTCTGCCTAATGCTAGGTGCTTTTCCAGACCTCTTAATCAAATCCTTATGACTTTTCACCCAAGCCTCATCTTCCTCAGAAACATTATTGAAATGGATTGGTACGGATAATAAATTAGTATGTATTGAGGGATTCTTTGTAATTGAATAAGTTTTTGGCGATCTAAAGGTATTCTGTTGTCTATCAGAAGAATCCGACAAATCTCGATTGTAAGATGCTACTGACTTGCTACGTCGAATTAATGGTGAATTCTCATCCATTTAAATTTGATTTATGATCGTTGATATAGTGAAAGACGATATAGGTGCAAGATGTAGATATAAGCGAACAACGAACGAATTATTTATGATACTACTGTATTACCCCAGGCTGAACAAACAATTGTGAAACAACTTAAAAAAATTCAACTTGTAATAACTTTTCGGCGCCAAACTCTTTGAATCAAATCAATTGTGCTTGCATCAATGTACACACATTTCTAATTTTGTTTAAATACAAGTTAGTGTAGTTATGTTTGTTTGTGGTTTTGGGTTGTAACACGAATGAGCATTATATAATATCCCTAGTAACCTTTTTCTCCGAACAAAGAAAGTTCTATGTTCAAAATTAGAAGTCCATACATTTGCTTCAATGAATAGCTGGTACGTACGTAGTAGCAAAATTATGTTGGAAATTATTCGAACCACAATTCGGGAGCGAATTTTGAATACGTATACATATACAGTCGCATTCCCATATAATCACAAAAAGAATAATAGTAGTTCAGTTTATATAGGTGATGTACTTATACAGGACGTGCTTGTATGGGAGTGTGACTGTATACATCTTAATTCAGTAATTAAAAATTGCGGTATGTAGAAACTATATATTACTGTATAAGCACGAAATAACGCCCAGAGGCGTTATTTCGTGCTTATACATACGGTTTATGCCATAAATAGTTAAAACATAATATGGCTTAGTGTCTGATTTTTTTTTGCAGTTTCGAATCTTACTAAATCATTTGTCCGATTGGTTTAAAATTATCATCTCATACGTAGTAGAGATGAGCAAAATATAAAATTTTCATTTCAGCTTACAGTTTGGCCAAAATTATGATTTAATTTCTTAATGCTGGCCAGAATTAATCGCATAGTACGTATTCAATTTACACATGAAAATATTTTCATTTGTACTAAGAATTTTTTCGCATCGCCGTTTTGAATTAGCAAGCACTTCTCACTGGGGTGTTCGATATACTATGTAAATTAAAATTATGCGTGGTTATATTATTTTTGTAATTCGATAATTTATGCAAAAGTACTTTTATATATAAAAATCTGTCTCATATTTTTAGATGCACAGGTTCTTTTTGTCCAAAGTCTTGGCATAACTAAATATAAATTTCATTCTGTAACATTGTTTATTGGAATTTTACATTGATCTGATCAAAATTTGGATTCATGATTCTTGGTTAAAGACTAACATCTAGTTAAAGGCTATCGAAGCTCATATAACAATTAGCCTTGTTCACACAAATCTTTGATATTAAATTTTTATATAATATCATATAAGGTAGATATGCCAAATTCGGTGCAGGTAAGTATTATGATTCATAACATGTGGTAGATTGATCAGAATTAGACAATTTTGGTACCATTTGATTCGTCTTATCAAGACGAATTGAATGGTACCAAAATCATTCGATTCTGATCTCTAGACTAGAGTTTGAAACCGGTTTTATTTTTCTTATGTTAAATCCGATTAAAACCGGTTTTAACATAAGAGAAATAAAACCGGTTCCAAACACTACTCTAGACCACAAAATACAGAAATATTGTTTATTTTGAAAATTTATGTTCTTAATTTGGCACAGTGCATAATTTGGCGCATCAACACTACACTAACAATATCTCATGAACTGTTAAACAGAATCACAAGATTTTGGTATCATTCGATTCATCTCAATAAGACAAATCTAATGGTACCAAAATCATACGATTCTGATTGAGATATTGTCATTTAACTAAAATAAGCTGCACATAATATGGTTTAAAAATTGATGTATAGTTGATTTTAGTTAAATGATGACATCTCGTGAACTGAACTACATGATTTTGGTACCATTCGATTTATCTCAATGAAACGAATCGAATGGTACCAAAATTATGTGATTCTGATCAACAGTTCACGAGATATCATATCTACCTTATAGGTTTGATTTACATAGTATATAGTACTTTTTTCTTTAGAAAACTTGATAATCCAAATTATTTATATTGATTGTAGTATTAATTAATTAAATGTAAATACTGGTCATATAGCCATAGCGATAGATATCGAAATTTTAATCTATCGATATGGCATTGATTTGAATTCATGCGGCATTTAGAATTCATCACTACTCGGTATATGTTAATTTTTTACATATATCGATATATATAAACTTATAAAGTATAACATTACTGCCAATTCTGTTCACACTCAAAATTTTAGGAAGCATGTTCATAAATTACATATCGATATCGATATATACTATAATTAATAATTGCCAAATATGCAAATGTCTTTGTGTTAAAATACTAATGCTATCAAATGATTAAAAATATATAACGATATCGGAGTATATACAATTAGCAATTTAAATTTTGTGGTTGTATTTAAATTGGAGGTCTTAATAGAGTCGGCATCAATGATATTAATCGGTGAAATCTATCAAATCTATCTAGTGTAGTTATCTATCTGAAGTAGCCACTTTAGATATTTAAAGTAACGCATAATCAGGATTAATATATGAAAAACTAAATTTTTTGAGTTTAACTTCAGTCAAGGCTACTTTAGATATCCAAGCACTTGCTTCAGAGAAATGACGATACTAAACGCAATATATACACGTACATATGTTGTAAGTGGAAACGAAATTTAAGTAGATTTGGAAATTCCTAATTAAACCAGGGTTAAGGTAAGGGTACTGTATTCATATGATAAAATCAACCAAAAATGCTGGTTTTATATAAAAATTCAGAATCCATTTAAATTCCGTTTCCACTTACAACGCATATATACATATTTTTTGACAAATATTAGAAAAAAGTTTAAAGTTTTTAAAAGAGTTGCTTATTAAGACTTGAAATTTGAATATAGATCTCAGGTATAGAATTCGTCATTCATTATCATTTTTGACTCTTTATTCCACAAGCAAATGGATTAGGTTATTTTAAACTTTCACTTTGACCAAATGCCTACCCAATGGTAATTAATGAACAATTAGTATTTGAGTTTTCTGACTGGTCAAATATAATCTAATGTAAAAATACTAGCATATATTAAACAGCACAAAATAAATTTGTTATGAAATCATCATACAGAGTTAGGATAACTTACCTAACAATGTAAGTTACATCGTAAATTACATAACTTACAAGTACATAATGTTAATGCAAATCAACTTTGAGATTAAATTTTGCTGGCATTAGGAATACTAAAGTTATAAAGAAGCTGATTCTTATAGTGATTTTAGCTGATAGTGGAAAAAATCGGCTAAAGCAAATTATCAGCTTAACTGATCAATTTCTTTAAAATCGACTGATCGATTTGATATAGTCAAAAGATGCCATTACAAAATTTCCGACGTGGAAAATGAATGAACCTAAAATATGAGCAAGGTTGAAACCAAAATTTTTTTAAATTTCGAAAAATTCAAAACAAATTAAGTAGTACTACAGTTTCAACCAAGTCAACTAAGTGGATAAAATTTATCAGCTTGGTCATAGCTGAAAAATTATGCTTGGCAAAGATCACTAGATTCTTATTCAGTACTAAAATATGTAAATTACGTAAGTTATAGTTAAAATTTAACTTTCTGTCAGTTTAAATAACTTATGTAAGTTACCCAATCTGTATCATAATATATCGAAAATCATCATGTTTAAAAATCTTATAAATACATCGAATAACAATTAAAAACACGACTAAAATGACGAAAACATAAGATCTTCATTAGAAACTACAAAAATCTAAAATTTAAACAATGAAAGCCCGAAAATTGCACCAAGAAAGGCATTAACTAACAAGGATTTCGATAACAAATTATTCAATAACAGCAAATAATAAGTTTTAAACCTGTACTTTAAAATAACCTAGTTAGTAAAAAAATACCAATGTAAACAAAAAAAACGTTAGTCCATATAGGTTGCGATACCATAATTTGCAACAAAATTATAATGCGAAATTATTAATAATAAATATATAATAAAACATTTATATAAAAAGAATACTTAGTTTCAGTTAAATTATTAGCTTACTCGTTCTAGTTACCACGTAGCGGTATATCTCATAACTAGGTTTATAACAGCCCGAAATTGTATCCTAAATAGAACGTAAGCAATAGATAACATTGTCCAATAACATGGAATATTAATCAAGGCTTTGATAAATGAGTGCAAATTATCGAAGTTCTTAAAGATTTAAAGTTCGGTTCATTGTATATTTAAGTAAATAAAGCTGATTATTTAGAAGAAAGCCGCCATTAGCTCTCTTAACCGTTCAGCCGTTTTGCCTTTTAAAGAAACGTGAGCAATATATTTTGTAATATTAAACAGTTTCTTAAATAAAAGCTTTATGAAATAAATAAAAAATTATCCTAACTTAAAAAAAAAAACGAATATAAATTATTGCTCCTTAAGTTCTTTTTGAAACAATTCAATTTTTTATTATAGAATTTTTAAATAAACCGAGTAACCCATACTTGTAATAGGTTCATCTTCGGTGAAAAAACGTCGATTTGGCTTATTTAGAATAAAAAATGAAGTTTTTAATTGTAGTAAAATTTAAATATATAAAAGAGAAAAAAGAATAACAAATAATCCAAAAAAATATTAAGTCAAAAATGCTCTTTTTTTTGACACCGTTTATTGTTTTGATGATGAATAATAAAATCGCGTGTATTGTTTACATATTTAATTACTACAGACTGCAGTACTAGTCAAAAAAGGGTTGCAGATCATCACTTAAATCGGACATTTTTTTAGGCCAAACTTTCGAAACTCAGGTCGAAATTAAATTTTAATTTTGACTAGAATTTAGACGAGTTTTGCCTAAAAAATGTCGGTTTAAGCTCACTGATTGTCTATATCGAAACCCGGATCTTCATATAATAATTTTGCTTAAATTCGCTAAAAATTTTACGAATTATGCCCCGAATTATGCGAAACCTACTCTGATATGCCAAACATGCTATGGGATAAAATCCATGTTTATGCGCATATTATGCTATCGCAGA